GGTCAGGAGAGGTCTGCCGCGCCATGTGGTCACCTCCGTGGCAGGCGGGAAACGAACTCATGCAGAAGTGGCTTTAGCTTCTTAGTGCTGTGCTTTAACCTGCTGCGCCACCAGGGAGGGCCCTTTTATCACTACTTTTGTGTGAGAAAATGTTTTCCCAATTAGTGGGCTGTCTGTTTGTTTTTAGTAATGTCTCTTTTTCTGTACAGAAGCTCTTTAACTTCATGTAGTCCCATCTGTTGATGCTTGCCTTCACTATTGTGGCATTGGGTGCTCTATCTTTAAAGATGTTGCTGAAGTGTATGTTGTGTAGTGTTTGGCCCATCTTTGCTTCCAGCTATTTTATGGTTTCTGTTCTTATGTCTAGGTCTTTAATCCACTTAAAGTTGATTTTTGTGAATGGAGTGAGGCAGTGATCTAGTTTCATTTTTTTGCATGTAGCTTCCCAGTTTTCCCAGCAGCACTTGTTGAACAAATTTTCTTTGTTCCATTGTATCTCCTTTGTTCCTTTGTCAAAAATTAGGTGTCCATAAACTCGTGGGTTTATATCTGTGTTTTCTATTCGAATCCACTGGTCTGTATGTCTATTCTTATTCCAGTACCATGCAGTTTTGATTATTATGGCTTTGTAGTACAGCTTGAAGTTTGGGATTGTAATGCCTCCATTTTGATTTTTCTTAGACATGAGGGTTTTGGCTATTCGAGGTTTTTTGTTGTTCCATATGAATATCATCAACATTTTTTCTATTTCTTTGAAGAATGTCATTGAGATTTTTATGGGGATGGCATTAAATCTGTATATTGCTTTTGGCAGGATGGCCATTTTGATGATGTTAATTCTCCCGATCCATGAGCAGGGGATGTCTTTCCATTTCATGGTGTCTTCTTGTATTTCTTTTAACAGTGTTTTGCAATTTTCTTTGTAGAGCTCTTTTACCTCCTTTGTTAAGTTGACTCCCAGGTAATTGATTCTTTTTGTTTTAATTGAAAAGGTGATGGTTGTTTTTGTTTGTTTGTTTTTTATCTCTGCTTCTTCTGCTTGGTTGTTTGTGTATAGGAAAGCCTCTGACTTTTGTGTGTTGATTTTATATCCTGCTACTTTGCTAAACAGGGTTAGAAGCTTTTAAGATATTGAAATGATAATCATCCTTCCCAGTTTTCAGAAAGCTCCCAGGATAATTTGGAAGGAAAGATTTAATAAAATAAGCAACACCTATTTATAAAATTTCAGGTGATATCAGAACGAATTTAATACTAGAGAAGTCCTGCTTACGCCATACACCACATTACAATTATAGAATTTCTGGCATTCACCTTGACAATGAAGATAGGTTGCAACACCATAGTAAAAGTCTATGGAGTTTTCTGCAGTCAATTATCACCATTATTGTTTTTATGTTCAAATCATGCCAAATTTCACAAGTAGTCCTTTCAACAGGACTCCTGTGTCCGATTGGCATCACCTCACTAGTTCTTAGTGATTCACTGATTTCTGGTACAACATGATATTCCATTTTTACCACTACTTTCCAGGGCCAGAACTAGTGTCTGAGTCCTTAAAGTGGAGAAAGTATTTAGAAACTAACATACGTGTACACACAAGTTTAACATTACAAGGATTTCCTCTTCACATTTTTAACTTCATTTTTGTATCTCCTTTCCACTACAGTGAAAATCCTACAACATCAAGACTTTTACTTATTTTCTCTATCCTATATTACAATGAAATAGTCTCAGAATTTTGATACCACTTTCAGCAATAATGAAAAACCCACTCAGTAAAGTTTAATATTCCTTGTAGTTCTTTTAGTCATCTGACTATATTCTAGTATAGAATACTATAGAATATAGACTACTTTGCTCAAATATTTCTGAAATAATTATTTTCATTGTATCTGTGTTACCAGTTTTATGTTGCAATAATCAGTTCTTTTCAAGTCAAGACAACTAAACTACAATTTTATTCCAATCCAACAGAAGCCTGAAAAATGAAGTCTAAAAAGGAGTACTCCACCACCAAAATTTCCCAAGCAAAGATGAACAGCTCAACAAACAATACCCAACTAAATTCTCCTAATCTAACAAGTAAGAGTTTAAACAGTTGGATTTATGCATACTTACACACTATTAATATCTATTATTAGTCCAATGCTCATATATGCTCCTTTATAAAAGCTGTTAATACAAGAGCTAAAATTAAAGGGGTGACCCACAAAAGCACAATATAGTAGACTCTAGTTTACATAGCTAACTTCCACTTACTTGATATATTACAGGACCACTGAAACCTACTAATAGCAATAAACATTATTATAGCTCCCATATCCCAAAAAACTTTTTCCCAGACTAATTAACAATGAATGTTTTAAAGTGATCCACTTTTATTCAACAAATATTTATTAAGATTTTTGGGTTGTTAATTTTCAGCAGCTGATAATGGAGAGAACAACAAGTTAAGATTAGATTTTGATGAAAAGTGATAGATAACAGACCTATTTTTCAAGATAGCTAAATCCGGAAGCACATATTGAGGGTAGAAAAGATAAAGAAGTCTTTCATAATATTTGGGGAAAACATAGCTCACCCAAGTAGAAATGTTAAGAATTCAGAAGACTGTATATAAACAAATAGATGAATTAAGGTAGCTGAAATCGTAATACTCTGTGGAGAGGGAGCAACAAATATAAAGCACAGGAAAGAGACCAAAGATAGAGTTAGAGTTGAGGAAGCATTATCATATAAAGATATGATTGAAATCATTACAGCAGGCAAGATTGCCCAGAAGAGAGGTTAGAGTGAGAGGAAAAGATAAAGAACAAAAACCTGAGTAACATCAGCTTTTTAAAAACAAATAGAGGAGAAATAATTAACAAAAATACAGAAATGGGCTGGTCAGAGAGAAACAAGAAGATACTGGTGACATAATAAGAGAAGAAGGAATCAAAGATGTATATGGTTGTTCTTTGATAGTATAGATAAGTGCCATAGAGAGGTGAAGGGTATTAAATATTGAGAAGAGACTTCGGTGAAATAGGTGTTTGGTTTTCACAGTTACAGAAATACAGAGAAACTTTGGATTCCTTCCTATTACTTACTTAGAAATGTCTGAGGGATTTCATCATGCGGTTTTTATGATGAAATTTTCCAAGAATTTCCTTAAAAGTCCTACAAAAGACTTTGCCCTGAGATAGTGGGCAGGATAGAGACAGGAAGTGGCAGTAGCCCTTATGTAAACTTGAGTTGGCCTTTGATCCCAGAAGAGTACTCTCGCCTAGACTCTAAGGCCAGTTGAGTTTTGTACTTTAGGAATACAATTTTCACACTACACCTTTAGCTGTTCTGAGCACCAAAGCATACCTTCTTCCAAATTCTTCAAATGTAAATTACCTCAATACTTCAAATGTAGTCATGTTCCCTCATTAATTTTACCCAATGTTTTTTCATTAAATGCTAGTCCCTGCATTCATATCTTTAGGCCTAACTTCCTTCTGCATCCACACTACCACCTCAGTATCATGAACCTCACTGCCAGTTACTCAAGAGCCACATCCTGCTGCTGCAGAGTCCATTATCAGTATTACTCATACTGGCCATATCCCTATGGGATATAGACTACACATCATCACATACACATCACTGCATAAGCATATAAAGAATGAGCACACTTATGGTATTTTCTTATATCTTTTATCTCTGAAGACACAATATGTTAATATATTAAGTTAGCTGTTAGGTGACCAAGTTCAATTCTGACTCTGGCACAGCTTTGTAGATTTCCTTTGTAAATATAAATGTATATGTAAATGTCAGATGCCATATTAATATTCCCAAATTGTGAAACAATGTTAGGGGGGAGTTCCAGGTGGATGTGCATATGATTAAGTTGCCATGCCCTATTGAGACAATTGAAAATTCTTACTCTGAACTGGAGTAAAGATATAGATGATTCAAAATATAGGGGAAAATTCTATTCCATTTGACTTTGAAAGGCATATTAAAAAGGCAAATCTGAAAAATAAAAAGAAATCACAGAAGAGGTGTAAAAACCAAAATAATTATTTTTATTCTCTGGATTACTGAGAAAATTTACTATACTGTATAAATTGTTTGGCAACTTACTATAATGTTGACAGTTAAGATTCTATACTCAAGTGTTAAAACTATCTATTTGACTCTGAAAGGCTTCTAATGATTTATTTTTATTTTGAGTAGTACATTTATTTTTATTTTGAGATAAAAATATTTTCTTTGGAGAATGACAAAATTTCTAGATAATTAAATTTATTATTTCAATGATATATGTGAACTTGCATTTTGATAGTCCTTACCCTAAACATGCAGCATAATATTTTCTTAGATGGAGAAAGATGGAATTAATAGCTTAATATCATACCCCTGTGATAACAACTTCTTACCAGACTTGTAACCCTGGGAAGATGTTATTATTTCTAAGAACATCAAATAATTATCTGTAAAGTTAAGAGAATAATATCTACCTTGAAGGATTATTCTGACGGATTAAATAAAATACTATATAAAATTATTAGCACAGTGCTTGGCCTGCTGTGGACACCTCATAGATGCAGCTATTTTAAATATCAATAACCTCTATAGGCAATAGACGTCACTCCAAAATTATTAAAAATATATTCTAGGTAAGTAGAAAAGGTTAGAGATTTAATGTTATCACTAGCGTTCCCCCTTAACTAGGCATGTTAGATGAAAAGGTACAAGGAATTCTGAAAGTTAACTTATTTTCTAACAACCTCAAGTTACTCACAATAATTCATTTGGCAGCAAAAGATAACCTAAACTCAACTGATAGTTAAATCCTAACCTGAGTCAACATGAGATCTTATTTCACTTTTCCTATGCTTCCTGTGATTCACTTTAAAAGGATTCATCAATCTTTGATTGTGAGGTGCTGCCCCAGTTCCTGCTGGGATACTCACATACGCTTACACACAGAGACACACAAACAAACACATATAACACAATACAATTTAGAATTTAATGTTAAGAATATATGTATACATAAATGCACATTCATACATTTGTATATATATTACATTACAACTTTAAAACTCTGAATTTTGAAACATAATTAATTGCTTTCTTGATCTGCTACACTCAGGATTTATAAAGGGATAAAGATGAATGGAATGATTACTATCATAATTTTTTTTCAATTATTTAGAACCCAAACATAAGACCAAAGAAGTTTGCCAGAAATACTTCATGGAGCTACGCTCGGGCTTTACTATCAAAAAGGAGTATTGTTTGAGGAAAACCAAAACGTGTTCACCAAAAACAGGTAGGAGAAACTACATTTACTTGCAGAAGTGATGGGTATATATTTGCTTATACTTGCCAGATTTAAATATCTATATATCTCTAACTATCTGAGTTTGTTTTTCTTACCCAAGTTTTCCTTCATGAAAAGAGTAAGGATGATGAACTACATTTTAGCATGGAAGAAGTGGGTATGTTATAACATTAACTGAAAAAAAATGATATAAAATTATAAACATTTATAATAGCTAGTTGTTTGTTTGTTTGTTTTTCATTTAAAGAAGATAAACGAAAATGGTGGCTGCCTTTGGGTATTAAGACTATGGGTCACTAGCTTTCTTTTTTCTGGACTCAACTGGTTGTGTTTACTGTGGCTTAAAGGTACCAGGATTTTTTGATCCCTTCTCATTCACCCCTATCAGCCAGCATGCAGTCCTGAATGGGAAAACTTAATGACAGGGTCTGAACAGAGTGAGGGCTAACAGTATACTCCTACCCTCTCCCCTGTTCTGCAGGTGGAAAATACAAAGATCAACATATGTTAGTCACTTCCTGTCCACAACAGCTGAAGCACATTAAAAAGTCAGATGGGAGCTATCCCATTGAGAAATCTTTGGGCCAGAGATGTGTTACAACAACTGATGTTCCATATCATCAAAGAATCGAAGGTGTGACTGGCCACAGAATTGGGGTAGGAAAGAGGGAATGTAAGACACAGAACCCTGGCAAGTACTACACCAGAAAGTATCCCCAAGTCTGTATTGAAACTTGTATTCATTTGTAGTTGTACCTGAATTATGAGGGTACCTGCTCTAATAATGCATGTGCACTCTGTGATTAACACATCATCATTATTTTGAAATGTCTGCTATGAATTAGAAAACTTTATTCATTATACCTGAGGAAATACATTGTCCTTTGGTAATAAAAACACATTATCAAAAGAAAAGGAATAGTTGTATCATTTAATATAATTTCTTTTTTAAAAAGATTTACTTATTTATTCATATAGAACAAGACAGAGGGGCAGGGACAGTGAGAGGATTCAGCAGAGACAGAATGGGGAACAGAACAGGCAGATTAATGAAGTACACTGCTGAGGGGAGCAGCAGGTGAGACAGGAGAGGTCTGCTGCACCTTGTGGGTCACCTCCAGGGTGGGGATCGAACTCGCACTGAAGTAGCTGCAGCTCACTTTGCAGTGCTGCATCCTAACCTGCTACACCACCAAGAAGGGCCTAAATATAATTTCAACTCAAACATTTCATTTTAAATAGTTGTTAAAATATTCTTAAATTGTATCACTTACTTGTGCATAGAGAGTTGAAGTTGCTTACTAGCAAGAAGTGACAAAATCATTATTAAGAATATTTGACCAGGAATTGCATGTTGATATTCAAATATTATTCCTGCTGTAAACATCTTAGCTCCCAGAAGGATACTGAAATTTCTTATTAAGTATAGAAGTTAATATGCAAATTTAATATTTAACATTATTCTTAATGTTGTATTTATTGCTTTTATTAGAATACTTCTATAGTGTACAGACTTTTGTTTTTCTCAAAGACCCAGAGTCTCTAAATCTGTCTCACTGTACCTCAGGATGTCATGGAAATATTATCATTTTTATGTGTGCTGGGACAATAAAGAGTAAAATTTGGAAGTACTGCCGTTTGTTATTTAGCTAGAAGGTTAGAATACAGCTTGTTTTGTACTCCCATCACTATTGGGAGTCTCTTAAGTAACTCCATCCTGATAAATGGATATAATGTATTCACAGTTATCAAATATAGTTCTTTCTTGGGCAATCTCCCTGACCACAGGTGCTAGAAAATGGAGGTTTCCTCAGGTAATGTGTGTCACTTTTCCAAGTTTAACCACCCCACCTAAACTTCTTATTGCACACTCACATGGCCTTTCATGACCTTTATACAGAAGTAGTAGCATCTTTAATCCCATTCCAGTGGTACACCTCAGCCTTTGAACTAGTAAAACTTGAGCCATATGTTTTTAGACAGCCAACAGTGATGGTCAAAGTGAAGCTCAGATGTAAACAAAACACAAATACTTTAAGGGGGTATTTTTAAGGTTTTCTAAATGACTGTTCATGGGAACAAGTACTGTGAATTCTTAATGATAGAATTTTACTTGTTACAGAGGTTTCTGCTTGCCTGAGGACATACAATGATCAGTTTGTTTCTTTCATATGTGAAGATGAAGATTTTGAAATCTACATTGAAGATGTGGGTAAAAAACAAAAGAAAGGTAGAATATTTGCTTTTGTCTATGATGTTATGATGACTAGTAAAGTAAAAGGTTTACCAAACCACAGTTAACAAATTAACTCGGACATGGCAAACAGATTGCATGCTATTTGCAAACTCCAGTGCATTGGCAGTGAATTCCTGAATATCACTATGTTAAGGGTTCAGAAACTTAGGCTTTATCAAGTAAGGGTACTGATACTGAGAATTTTTATCTCTTGTGAAACATGGGAGGTACCACATGTATTTGCTATCACTAAACTACCTCTAGCTCTTTCCAGCTTTATTAATATCACCAAAGTATAACATCTAGTAAAAGGAATATATCAATTTTATGAAGAATATTTCATAAATTTTAGTAACAATTGTGTTGTAGTATATTCATACATTTTTCAAAGCTTTCTCAAAATCACAAATTGACTTTATTGATTTATAGTAAAAGAAAAGGACATTTCTTTGCACTTTATAAATGTTGCAACTGAAAGCTCTCGATGATATTGTACCTCACCAAAGGGATTTTATATGTTCTCTTTCAGACAAGGTGCTACTCCGTTTTTATAATTCTCAGGTCCCTTCAAATGAAACAGGTAATTTAGAGGGCAGAGCTTGAATTCTTAAATTTTGGGTAAAGATATCCAAAAATGCTCCATGGAATAGGAAGTTAATCTCAGAAAGTTTTCTTCAACCCAAGGTCATGGTAAAATCTGTAGAGAATTTACCCATGCTATTCATTTTGCAGTTTAATAGGTAGGATCAATTTTTGTCTTCATGTAACAGATATCCTGAGCAGTAGTGCTTACACTGAACAAAATGTTATTTCTGTCTTAACCAGAGCTGAAATGGTTTACTGTCCAACAGATTGTCCAAAGTCCAAGTTCTTCTATCTTTGTGGTTCTGCCAACATCTACATGGTTCAATATAATTTGCCACAATGATAATAGCCAATCAGCAGAACAGAGGAAGACAGACACATGAATTTCCTTTCCCATTAAAGAAACAACCTAGAAATTGTACCTGACACCTCTATTCACCTCACATTAGTCAGAACATAGTCACTGTACTCTGTTTAGCTACTAGCAGAGATGTGCTATCATTTCTCTAGAAAGGAGTTGGGGGTACCTTGGTGATGGGTGTCGGGTGACAACACACATCTGAAGAGGCATGGTCCTGCACTTCTGAGTCATATTCAGTGTTATAAACCAATGCTACCTCTATTAAAAAGAAAGTAAACTATTAAACAAAAAAAGGAATTAGATATTGGGATTAAATTATCAGTGACTTTAAAGGTAGACAGCAAAGTTGATACTTTCAAAAAATACTTATTAGTCACAACTCTATTAGATAGTATATTTAAAAAAAAAAACTAACATTGCTCCTTGGAGTGGCTTAGAATTACTCCCTACTTACCAATGAATGACTCTAGTTTTGTGTGGGTGTAAGTATTTCAAAAAGAAAAGTTTGTAAATGAAGTAGATCTTTTACATGGCATCTGAGGCTCTTTTCCAAGTGCTAAATTCATTTGTGTTACAGTTTCTAATTTACTTTTTTTTTTTTTAATTGTAAGGTGATGGCATTGATGGTGAGATGGTAATGGTAAGCCTGAGTCCTACAAAAGGCAAAGATCTCTGGGTGTATGCAATCAAGGAGGAACTCTCTGTGAAGGTAATAGAAATGTGCTCTAAAATATCAAAGCACTCTACTTGTTTAAATTTGGGTGTGTGTATGTTCCAGAAAGTCCAGCCTCTGCTAGCAGTACAGCATAGCTGAGGGCTTGTTAAAATTGCAGGTTTTTCAGGTCACATAACAATTGAATCTAGGTCGATATTTTAACAGATCTCCAGCAGATTACTATACTTTATGGAGTTTAAGAGGCACTGTTGCATATGATGATCTCAGATTCTATCTATTTGAAATAACTGTGTTCTTTCAGGAAGTGTTTCTTTGTAAAATATAGTTTCCTTACATAAATGCAAAATTTTTATACTCTGAGCCTGCTAAAGGGAGAGTCATAAGTATTATCATATGTGAGGATTTACAGATAGCCTAACAATCTATATTCTGATCAGAGGATTCACTGTATACTTTTCTTTGGCTAGGAAATAGTAATTTACATTGGTCATAATGAGGAATTAGAAACATCTTGAAGAACAAACAAGCCAAAGGTGGAGGCAAAGAGTATAATATAGAGGATAAATTATATATGTACAGTGTTTTAAGCTAATTCATATAACCATTGTAAGGAATTAACTTAAAAACTAGATAGTAACCAGTATCTCCCTTTAAAAAATTCTGGCATGTATAACTAACTGATCCATACAGAGTTCTATTACATGCTAAGCACTCTGCTAACTATTTTATAAGCACTGTCTCATATAATTCTCATAGTAACTTTAAAAGGCAGCTAGTGTATTGGCAGTATTGTCATGTAATAAACCACTGGCCAAATCTTACTGATTAAATTATTACTGATTAAATAGTAATAATCACTTAAATCACTCTTATCTGTGTAAATTGAGGGTTGACTGACCTAGAAAACTGGTTAGACTAAAACATTAAATCTTGAGAGGTAAAGCAATGTGTCAAGATCTGACAGATAGTACCTAGTAAAAGGAACAAACAAATCCAGGACTCCTGAATCAAGATCCAGCCATTTTAAATCATGCTATTGCTTGAAGTATACTGACAGTGAGTGAAACCAGATTTCTTTACTTGTATTCATTTCTTTCTCTGCCTCAGTAAGCAGACTTGCTAGAAATACCAAGGTATACATAATTACCCCCCTTTAGTTTCTAGAATAGGGAGAGAAATTTACTATGGATTTTCCACTCATATATTGATTGCTTTCTCTTTCATTTCCTCAGCTACAAAAATGTGAAGAGCCATCGCCAGACAAGGCCTTTTTTCTCCTTCATCGAATGTCCTCCCAAAGTGTTCAGTTTGAATGTAGGAGCAATCCTGGAGTATTTATAGGAGTAAAGGATAACCACCTTGCTTTAGTTAAAGTAGAGGGCCAAACTGAGAATCTGTGTAGAGAGAATACAATATTTAAGCTCTCTTAATGTGATGGAAAGCTGTGGATTATGATTTGGGTAGCCCAAAAAGCTACCTACCACTGGAGAAGAGTTTAAAAATAGAGTAAAAAAGGAAATAAAGTAAAAAAGTAAATGGGGTGTTTTCCCTACTATGCATAAAATTATTTTTTTAGTAATCTTTCAAGACAGTTTCTATTTTCCCTTTTATTACTGCATGTTCAGTATAAGTACTGGTCTACTAAATAGGGTGGATATTGGTTTCAGTCCAGAAAGAACTTTACACGTTGACCTGAGTCCTGTAGGGAGAAACTAGGGTTTTAGCTTAAATGTAATTTTAGACAGGAATATGTTTTTAAAAGTTTACATAAGCATAACATTTTCCCTGGTTTCAAACAATAAACTCGAACATTAGAACTGTTCATAAAAAAGCAAGCAGATGTAACATAGATTGATCATTTCACAACTGTAATAAAACATGGTGTCTGTTTTAGATTCTCTAAGCTACTCTCAGATCAGTTTTTTGTTTGTTTGTTTTTAATGTCAGGAGTTATAAAACTTCAGATCCTATATGGGTAGTTGATAATATATGAATAGACAAAGATAATAAAAAATTAAGAAAAATAAATTCAGTACTTCTAAAATTAATAATTTTACCTCTAATTGCTAATTTTTTAAATTTTTGAACTATTTAAGCAAAACATTCTTATATTAAGAAGTGAAATAAATTTCAGTTCAGATATATAATTGAAAACATAGGGAAAGCTAACAAGGTAGAATTTTTTTTTAAAGCACTGAGCCACAACATATTAAGGTGTGCAAGTACTTGGGGGGTGGGTGTGAGAGGGGAATGGCAAGTGTCTTCTAACCTATTTAACCTGTTCCTAGATGGAACACAGGATTGATATTATAATTATAAAAAATTGGCTATTTCTCACATTTGTGGTATATACCATGTCCTAATCCTGTTTTCCAGGGATCTATAACAAAACTTCTTCTGACCTTTCTTCTCATATACCCAAGTCTCCACATGCTTTGGGTCCAGCTACCCCACTTACTGTGGAATATTCATCTGATCTCTTTTCATTCTTCATTTCTTCAACCAGCTGTATGTACTTTTTTTTACCCCGGGCTTCACTTCCTTATGATTAACCGATGGACACCAATACATTTATTCTGTTTTGTCTACATGATATTGTAGAATTTAACATAAACCTATTGATAGCAGTATTTTTTATTAAACATCTTCATATTTTGCTTTTAATAAGTTAGTAAAATTTATACTCAAAATATATTATAGTTTCAGCTACTAAAGGAGTGTTTTCTACTTACTTTAAACATTAATACTTTCTTCTGCCACAGGTAATAGTTATACTAAGATAATATTTAATATGAAAATGTAGGCTTTTTAATTTCAAACTTGTTGAAAAATATTTATTACAATTATTGGTGGAACATAAGGTAAAAGAAGCTAATAATTACTGTACAAGGACAAACAACTATAAAATACTAGTTTCAATACTACTTCATTACTAGATGAGCATCTGTCTCATCCCTTCTAAAAAAAATGCTAAATGGGCCCTCCCTGGTGGTGCAATGGGTTAGGACGCAGCACTGCAAGTTAGCTACAGCCGCTTCAGTGCAAGTTAGATCTCCGCCCAGAAGGTGACCCATATGGTGTGGCAGACCTCTCCTGACCCACCTGTTGCTCCTCTCAGCAGTGTATCTTGACAATAAGCCTGTTCTGCTCCCCACTCTGTTTGGTGATTCCTCTCACTGCCCCTGCACGTCTCACCTGTACCCCAGTTCTGTATGAATAAATAAATAAATCTTTAAGAAAAAATGTTAAATGCTGATTACATACATCTGTATGATATATTTTAAATGATTAAATAGCAAATTATATAAGTTACATTCATTGTTTATATTCTTAAATAAATTGTGTTTTTCAAAAGTATGTGAGACTGTATGATTTTTATCATGAAATGACTCCATATTCTGAAATTCTTAGGTGAGAGTAAGCATATTCCAAATCCACCAATGTTGGTATCTAGTATAGGACTTTTGTCTGATATTATTGGTAAATCAAAATCAAGTAAGATTTTCCAGGGAAGGAAATATGCCTTTTCACTTTTGTACTTTCATGAGAGTTGACACAAAGGAGATGTTAAGTGACTTTTACCTAAGATCAAACAGCCAACAGTACTGCACCAGAACTTTAACCTTAGACTTCCAGACTCATTTAGATATTTTTCAACCCACTGTCATATTTCCCATGGTAATTTTTCCTTTTTTATTCTTTCTACTATCATTATAACCAGTATTAAAATATTCAAATTTATGGTTATATATTGTTATTTGATTATGTTTTGATGGTCTATAACATACTTTCCTAGAAGGAATTTATCCATTTCAGTGTTTCAGAAATGACAATTATGCCCAAATTTACTTTTCCTTCACTAAAGATATAGATAAATAGATAGATAGACAGATAGATAGATAGATAGATAGATAGACAGATAGACAGATAGATAGAAAGATAGATAGATAGATAGATAGATAGATAGATAGATAGATAGATAGATAGATATTACATACACATATGTTCTTTAGATTTTTATGTCTATGCATTGAAATGTCTAGAAAATTTTATTCAAATGAGGAAAATGTGACTTAGAATTGGAAAGAAAGTAGATATGGGGGGATATGGGAAAAAATTGCTAATTTAATTACAATGCAATGGCTTGTCTCAGTCTAAAAAAATGATTCAGAGTTCCATTCTGTATAACAAAACAAGACAAAAAACATTTAAACTTTGTGCCTCATGCTGAAATATTTCATAAGGATTAAGAAATCTTAAACTGGAGTGCCCTGAATAGTGTTGTGGTAGGCATGACCCAAATTACCTCTTTTCATACTATCACTTATATAGCACAAAAATCTTGTTTCCTAACATTTATTTCTTAAATACATGCCAGGTATACTAGACTCTGCTAGGCTCTATAAAAGTACAAAAGAAGTCTCAGCTATCTATGTTCCTTGTTCACATGTAACTTGATGTATGTATAACTGTTAAATCTCTGCTGTCACTGTGTAAATTTCTCATCAGGGAAAGAAATAGAACCGAATTCTCAATTCCCCCACCCTAAGGTCTACCCTAATTTATTCATATAACCATTTTTCAATATCATATTAAATAGATTTCTTTTATAGGTCTCAAGCACAAGTTGGTAAATTTCATTGCTTCAAATCCCTTAGTAGAATTAAGGTTAAAGATTTTTGGAATGGAGGGGAGAGATGAAAATGAAAGCCAGTTCCTATAGACAGTCAATGGCATACTTCTGTTGAAGTGCCAAGATTATAAAATATTCATATGCTATTGCAGTCCCTATGTCAGAGGACACACCTATAAAAAGAATTCATGAATCACTGCCCAACATATTAAGAACACTTGGCTTCCTGCTTAAGGCTGTGTAATTTCAGCACATTATATATATGTATATCCATATATAAAATGAACCTATATAATATGTATATTATATGTGTAATATATCCACATTATAATATGGTATATATGTATAGATTGTATAATGTAATGTAATCTATATATAATATAATGTATATATCTATAATATATAGATGTGTGCATATAATCTATATAATATAGATATATAATCAATATATGATATTTATGCATTATCTATGGATAATGTATAGATATATGTGGATATGTTATATATATGTGGATATATATATGTGTGTGTGTGTGTACATATAGATTGTATGTGTGTATGTGTGTACATATAGATTGTCTCAGTCTGTTCATCTGTAATATCGAGAAGGTAAACTAAATATTGTAGTTGTTAACCTAACAACCATAATCAATATTTCTCCTTTCTTACCAACAAAACTTCCTTTTGTTGGTAAGAAAATTCAATTAAAATTATATTGCTCCCCAGACTTCCATGCAGTAGATGTAGTAACCATTTGGGAAGGTTATGGATATAAAATATAAGCAGGATAATGATTTGTGAAAAACTCTTAAAGGGGACATTTAATTCACATGCCCTTTTGTAGGCTTTCACCTTCTCTTCTTCTTATATAGACCATAAATATAAACTTAAATGTAGAGCAGTCAACATCTGATCATGAGTTGATGAACATGGAGACAAATACCTATACATGAAAAAAGACAAAAGAATACTGGAATAGTGTACAATATTGGTATTGCCCGAATCCTCTTGAATTCCTTTATAATGTATTCTTTGATATTTCCATTGTACAATACAAAAGATGCTGCTTTCCCCTCAGGCATAAAGAAATGAGTTTTCATTTCTTCCATTAAACAGACAGGCTTTTGAAAATCAGCTTCCTTGCCTTGGGTGAAACAACTCTGTCTTAAATTTCACTCAAAACTCTAAAATAGGTTGATGCTAAAACTGCACTCTGCCAGTCTTTAGCAATAGATGGCATTCTTGCTTAGATTTCTTTCTAGCTTTGCCCTGCTCCAACTTCTTTAACAGTTTTTCTTGGAAGCACATTCTTAACAAATCCCATGCTCAGAAATTTCATCAGTTCAAGGTCTATGAACCTAAGACATGAGATCACATATGACATTGCCACACTAGTCTCTTTATATTAATTGACGATTTTCTTATTGAGAGAGAACGACAAATCCATGTCTGTTTAAGCTATTGTTGGGTTTTCTTTGAATGTGACATAAAGACAATTTCATTCATAGAATTACTGACGGCAACATCTGTTCCTTACAACATTGATAAGACTTGCTTTCTAAATCGCAAACATTCAGTGAATGTTAGCTTAGAAAGACAGGCAAACCTGACTGATAATGATTGAGGACAGTTATATTTTTAAGGCACAATTAGAATGCACACACAAAAAACCAACCCCCACAATCATGTCTCCACAACTATAGGGGAAGTTACCGTATAAGAGATAAAGTGGGATGAAAATTCAGAATGGGCAGTATCTGAGATGTATAGAAGTAACATACCAAATTAAACATTATCTATTTAATTATACTTACTAATAAATTAAATATAGTATGTCATGTGTATCAAATATTACATTACAATTATAAAAATATTTAAT